CTACTACTTACTACTACTTACTACTACTACTACTACTACTACTACCCCTCCTCCTCCTACTACTACTACTACTACTGCTGCTGCTGCTGCTGCTGCTGCTGCTACTACAATATTAACTACCATTCCTACTACAGTACCAGGTGCACGTCTCGTACGTGACGCTATGCTTTCCTGCGGTCGTAGTGGTTCTCCTCTGTCTTTGTTTTATAAATCTATCTTTTGTTGGTGTGTGTTGTTTGCGTATTCGAGGCCGAGCGGACTGGGTTCCCTTTCACTGCTGAATTACGTTGGGCGATGTTTTCCTTGCATTCGCGGTGGTTTTACTATTGGTTTTTGCGCGTTCGAGCCCGAGCAGACCTGGTTCCTTTTTCATATGGTTTTTTGAGATCCACCACTGAATTCTTTTCTAGGCCTGGATGTGTTGGATTTTGGCATACCTTAGTACCAGGCTGTGAGGAGCCCGGATTAGCACAAGCTACGCACCATTAATCCAGGGGTGTCAGGAGTTCTGATTTGAATTTTTGAGTCGCCCCATTAGTCCGCCGTATGCCACATCAGGCCACGGGTGTGAGGCGTTCCCATCTTAATCTTGGGTCGGTCCATCAGTCCAAGCTATGCCCCAAGCTAGCGCAAGGGTGTGAGAACTTCTGATCTCAATTTTGAGTCGCCCCGTTGGTACAAGGTATGCCCCATAATCCAGGAGTGTGAAAAGGAGTGAATAACGAGCCGCTCCACTAGTCCAAGCTACGTCACGCTAGTACAAGACGTTGACTAGAAAGGCACAGTCAATTGCCTTAATATTGCTGCGAATGATGCAAGGAATCATTTGCCGCATGCGCGTCTTCCGCGATGATCTTGTGGGATGTGAAAGGTGGGTCTAGGTTACCTGAAGCTGGGCAGCATGCCTCGCGGTGTCGTGGCACCATACACGGCGAGGCGCATTCGGTGACGTGCGTTTGGTGATGAGATTTTGGTAGACCATCGAGCATCATTTTGCGGCAACTACTCTTGGCTAATTCAACGCACTGCGTGTGACGTACTCACTTCTTAACCCAGTAGAAGTAGCGCATCTGTAAAAGTTTCTTCTAACCATGGCACTTTTCATTGTACCGGCCGTCTGTATTCCTGCCTGGTTCGTGTAATGTTCGGCTCAAAAAATGACTTGACTTTTGGGGGTCTTGGTTTCGCAGTGCGCATCCCCGTGGATTTACTTGTCTTTTCGTCCATATGATGCTTGCACTGTTGATTTGGGGTGTTAAAATCCAAACAAACTTTTGATCCACAAATCATATCCAACTATAAGTTGTGAACGCATCTCACCGAGTAATGTTTTACTTTATAGGAAAACTTCGAAGAGGGCAATCGGCCTGCGTTTGCATTGCGTCCAGAGTCTCCCCTGTAGTACGTAGCAACTAGGCTGGCTTGCTTTTCCATGTCTTCCAGAAATGGTCGATTTGAATCGTGTTGTTCCTACTTGGCACTTAGGACCCCTACTAAGGGTTAACCCTTAATTACCTATAATAGGAATAAAAGGGAATCCCAAAGAGTTAAGGGTCTAAGGTCCAAGCTAAATCCCAAGGAAGTTCTAGGGCGCTAACGTCGACATTCCATGCTCGAAGCAGAGCACACTTAGCTAGCTGTCCTCTGCTTCCATCTGGCCTTGGGTGGTTTGTTGTTCTTGTGGACATAAATGTTGTCATGCAGTTGAATTCCGCTACAGTTTGCGTGGGATCACCTGGGTTGGGTTCTGCTAGTTCTTTGGCCAGAGATTCTTCGTTGTCTTTTTGGTTTGCTTGTGCACTGATCTGGTGAACTTTTTGTGCTTTAGCTGATTTTCATTCTCAATTGCTTCTTTTCCCCAAGAAGTTGCCACATGTGTGCAAAGACTTTTCTGCTATGCGTATCGGCTGCCGCCACTAACATGCCAGCAAGCACATCAAGCGCTGCAAAGCATTTCCAACTTTCCCGCCCATTGTTTCCGCTAGGCGGTCTTACACAAAGCTGTTGGACGCTTGTTTCTGAGTGTGCGCTGGGGTTCCATGGTCCAGAACTGCTGGGGTGAGCCAGAACTGAAAAAGACTCCGAAAACCCCGGGACTACTCGAACGAACCAGGACTCACGAGGTGCGCCAGAATACAAAAGCACTGCGAAACCTGTAGACTACCAGGACGAGCCAGGCCTAACGAGCCGAGCCAAAATGCAAAATACCGCACCCCTTGGACTATTGGAAGGAATAACGCAGAACTATTGAGAGAACATCTCGAAGCCTGGGACAGCACTGATCAAAGACCAAGAACATAGCTTTATATTCCAAGGCCTCCTGAGCCAAGAACGAGATTCTCCGCACACGACGATATACGCAAAACCGGCCCAAGCGTGCTGCTTCCATAGCACCAAATGCAGAACAAACGCACCGTCAGCTACCCAGAGATTTCCCGCAGCGGCAGTCTTGGCAGTGGCATTCAGGGTAGGGCCAGGAGCAGTGGTAGTGGCATAGTCGTAGTCGTGGGAGTGGTAGCGGAAGTGGAAGTCGTAGTGACAGTCGCAGTGGCTATCGCAGTGGTACTGGCAGTGGCAGTTGTGGTGGTAATGTGGTAGTAGTAAGGACTTAGTAGTGGCAAGACATAGAAGAGAACCAGCAAAAGCAGCAGCAGCAGCAGCAGCAGCAGTAGCAGTAGCATGCAGTAGCAGTAGCATGCAGTAGGAGTAGCAGTGGCGGCGGCGGTTGTGGTGAAGCAAAACAAAAGTGCAAGCTTTTGTAGTCATAATTTCCTGCTCCTGCTAATGCGTTTGACAATCACCTCCACTACTGCCACCACCACCCAATCCCTGAACCTTGAACCCGCAAGCAAAATAATGGCCCAGCATCCAAAAACTCAAACAAACTCAGTAAGTCGTGGTATTCCAACTCGAGCTGGCCTCGGCTATACAAAGCTGCGGCTGCGCATTAATTAACGCCAAGCATAGTTCCGGTCATGCGGCTGTTAAAAGTTTATCTGTTTATCACTCTTTGGAGCTTAAGTGCGTTATGTTAACCATGTGTTCATTGGCTGTTCGGTGCCCTCAACACTGGAACAGCAGCACCCGACTGAAATCCAAACTCCCAGGCAGTCCAGTAGTCTTTCAACTCAAACAAGGCCGTGCACATTACACCAACCCCTGCTACTGCTGAACTGAACCCTAAACCCTGAACCCTAAATACGTAATTGGCTCATGTATACCCCCACCAGTCCCGGAGGTAGCTTGGGCGTCTTTTAGGGAGGGATCATGTGAGTCCTTGACAAACAGTCCGGCGTTCGGGGCTTAGGGCTTAGGGCCGTGAGAGTTTCCATGAATAGGGGGCGCCAATGCGGACTCCAATATGAAGACTCCCAGAAGGGGGCCTTAATTTGTGGAAAACCTTCAGAGCTATAAACCTGAATCTAATCGCAGTTGCCATTTGCTTGTTCATTTCCTTTTCCAGCTTTCCTGTAGACTTACTTAGATACCTCTAAAGCCTTAGGTCAGACTGGTATTTCGAGAAGACGGTATCTTCGTTGAAGGCCTCGCTCTACCTGAAGATATGGGAGTTTCTCAAAATTAAGGGTACCATTTTGGGGGGGGGGTCTCCTAGAATGAGGATTATCATATTTTGGGGTCTATCTAGAGGGTCTATCTAGAGGTACCCCCATTTAGGGAAACTATCACGCACACACACACATATATATGTATGAAGCTCAAAAATGCGCAGCATGAGTGTAGAATAATGGCATTTCGAGTTGTGGGCCATCCTCCTGCCTACTTTTGAGTTCCAGGTAGCGCCCAATCTTGAAGCTTGAGGTTCTTCTTGACCTAAACCCTTGACCTGAATCTCCTTACACTCAGACCCCATAACCCTAAACCCTAAACCCTGTGAAGATCTGCGACTTGCAACTAGCCAATCAAATGTCTGCCCACCCCGTATCTTATGGAGACCCGCCACCCGCCGCTAGAGAGACAAAACAAGTGATGACTGGGATAAGCAGGGCTATGGATATGACAGACGCTCTTCCATTCAGGCTCTTCTCAAGCCCAAACCCTAAAACCCTATACCCTGAGACTCTAAACCATGATCAACTCCTGTTTCCTCCAGGCGGCTCATCCAGAAACTCAACTTGGGACTTGTGACGAGCTTGGAAAACTCTTCTAAGTTGAGCGCGCCATCCCCTGTTTGGGGTTTCGGACGATCTCTCAAGTGCTCTTACAGGGCCTATGTAAGCTAGGGTAGCTGAAGTCTAGGTTAGGTTTCAGAGCTCAAGGCTTGTTGTAAGCTCCTCTTGTCCTGAAAAGAGTCTGGCATGCAGCTGAATGGCTTTCAGCTATAAGCCTTAATTAACTATGGCCTTTCAAGGAATGAAATGACCTTGCTGGGCTTTACCAAGCTGATCATGCTACGCTGCTACATCAAGACGCTGCCGGCGCGCAAGTCTGGAGCACTCTTCTCACCAAAGCCCCGAGAAAAGCCTCACCAATGATGCTTACCGCTGCCTTTCATGGGACCACCCCCCCAAGATCCAGAAATCGCAATAAACTTCCAAACACAATGTCTCCATGAGCCCTGCGGTAGCGGCAATGACAATGACAAGGCTCGACCAACCAAACCTAGCTGCTGTAGCCTGAAATATTGGATCTAAAGCTAATGCAACCCTATAGCAAAGGAGCGCAGGAATGGGACAAAATGGAGATTATGTTATGATTGCAGATTTTACAGAGACTGCTATACAGGGATTCCTCCATAGTTGCTTCTACTCATCCTTTTTCGTAGCGCCCTTCATTTCCATGAAACAGCGATCCAAGCTTCCTGCAATGACAACTGCTTTAGCTACATTGTAACTACTGTATGACCCTCACATCCTGCGCGGCTTTTGAACCGTACAACCCTTAACCAGTGCATGGCCTGAATCGTCCATCGACTGGAAAAGCTTTCGCACTTTTCGTGTGTAGGATTGGATCTCTTTCTCTTTCTGCCGATACGCCTAGGTTTTGCCCGGGTCATGTCTTTTCCATGTCGGGTTCGTTTTCCTGGAAAATGGGCACAGCAACCACCTAATTAAGATCGGGATCCAGCTGCTCTACCAAAATGTGCAAAGTGTGCAACAAAGAGTGCTCCACAAACACGGACCATGTTCACACAAAAGGTCCTTCAATCGACAACGACCCAGATACGAGCTCTTCGTCAGAGTTGGCGGTTTTCAGGGTCTGCTGGATGAATACGGCCTGGTAGCGACAGGGTGGTCACATTGGAAATCAGCGCGACATGGATTGTAAGTTGGTCTTCAAACTGCACCAGACATCTCCCTGATACTAAAGTCCCCTTGATTAGACAGAATATGGCTTTGTATATATTGGAAAAAGACCCCGTATACACCATTTCCTATCTACTTAAGGGGGACTATAATCTTTCAAATAGATGTTAAGCCTTGCCCGTCAATCTTTGAACCTAACTAAGCTCCGAGCGATTGTTCTGACCAACAGCTGTCATATGCGGTTTCCATACATGGGTAGCCCCAACACAAATCCCAATATGCAGTATTCCTTGCTATAGGAACTCCTAACAAAGGAACAAGTGTTTGGAAACCCTAAACCTTGTAAATCCCTACAGGCCGCTATACTGCGCCGGGCGGAAAGTTCGTCGCACGGCCATGCTTGCACTTGAACACGGGCCTACCCTTCTCCCCCGTAGACTCCTCCA